GGGGGGGGAAATATTGCCAGCTCAAATTTTCCCATTCCGGATGTGGCGGATATTCATTACCCTGGAAAATCCAGAAACAGCAACTGTTTGGTGGTCTAGCGCGTACTAGTCCAGGCTTCTTGCTCCTGAGCCATTGCAAGTCAGCGACTTGGCCTGCAACCTTATAGTCTTCCACAGTTTCTACAAATAGCTGGAGAAAGATGTACAAATTGAGGAGATTCAATTGGCCACACTTTCCGACGAGCCACGGGCCATCCGCTGGGGTTTTGCTGGTTACGGATGCGGCTAATACACGGTACTCCTGAACCGACAGCGTGCAGCACACATGGAAGAGACAAAAAGCACGTAGTAGGTTAAAATAGATCATGGACGTCTAACTAGTAGCGAGAACCAGCTGCTGTAGACCCAGCTGCTGATGAAACAGTAACAGAACGTCACTTCACGAAGAATGCTCACAGCTAAAAATCGCCCGTAGCACAGGATCATACTGTCGAGCCCTTTCTCCCAAATGTCGGTAGAAAACGTATGCGGCAGGAAGTCATTTCCCGCCAAGAAGCAAAAGATAACGAAGTCGTCAATAGCGCGCTCTCTCTCGCCTGGACAGCAGAGCATCTTATCGACATGACGGTTTAGAAGTCCCTCCAATGGCGGCGGCGGCGATACTCCTTCTGTCTCATTTATCTTGCCGCCGCCTCCTGGTGAGAAAGTCTGCCGATCAGTGGTTTCCCGGTTCATAAATTCAATCTGTTCTTGGCTGTAATCTATCTTCGCCGGCAAAAGATCCAGCGCTAAGTATTCGCGCACCAACGAGATGTGCAATAATTGAAGCTTCTCCGGCTTACGTAGCATCTATCACAGAAGCGGAAGCAACCATCACGAGTAAGAGCCGCACACTCAGGTGCCCCAGCATAAATTCGGTGGGCAAATACATGTCTCTAAAGTCAAACCCAATCCTTTTCACCCGTTTCAGGAAGATTTCGTCAAAAACCTAAATCTACAAGACTGTGAAGGTATTGTAAACGGATACTGAAGCGCGAAGATATTCATGAACACCTGTCTGAGGATTCTACCATGGCTTGTATTTCGTCACTTTTGTGGAGATAACATCGAAAGGAACGCACCCTATCTTCCGCGTCAACTGTAGTGGGACGGCCGAAGACAACTTCTTCCCTCAGCAAAGCAAATTGTGGCTCGTGGGATGCAAGGGCTGTGAATGCGTGCAACCACAATCAAGACCACAACGAGCCATTTCTCAAGTGTTCACTTTATTCGTCTGTGTCCGTGGGTCTAAAAATAGAATCTACAGCTTGCTTGGCAGCGATTTGCAGGGAGATAATACTGACTTACATAACATGATTAAATCAGCGTCGAGCCCGTACAGGCAATGACGCGTGTTGGGGTCCGCACTACCAGCGGCCTTACAGCACCGTAGGTAGGCCATGATCTTGTGCTCCCCTTCCCCTGAGCAAATACACAACATCAACCGTCTATTCATATAGAGGAACACTCCAGCGAAGCCAATCCTTCTCTGCAGCAGAACAACAGAGCCAGTCCATGTTGACGAGTATACACCGCACAATAATTGAATGCAAATCGTGTTCCGAGCTCTAGAACACTTGTTTTGATTTCAAATATACGAACTCCCAGAAACAGTCTACCTGTACGAAGAGCCGAAATACCGCGACAAACTGCCACCATGTCTAAATGCGTTTTAAAAATGAGGGATACCTCAATATCTGTTGTGTATATTGGGGCTAGCAGCAGCAAGCCAGGTACAGCACTTACCCGGGACATCCGGACCTGACAAAAGCACTTTCAAACCCCGCCACCTTGTATCTTCTTGGAATTTCTTTTCGCAATAGAAACGAAGGTGACGAAAGAATGAGGCCATAAATTCGGTACCCGGCGAAATGCAGTTGCTGTCGAAACCTTTTGCCGCTGCTGTGTCTGCCTGATTGGAATTCTGGTCCTCCGTACCTTGCGCTGCTACTTGAAATACATTTGTAGCAGTGCGTTGTTGCTTCGCCTGAGCTTCAGCTGCTTCCTTTGCGCTCTTTGCGGCTCTGTAGCGGCGAGCCCGCTGCGCCACAGCAGCGAGGAGCAGCAACGCCACAAAAATGCGCTCAGTTTCAAAAATGCATTATTGTCAACTTGTGAGAGCACAAACAACATGAGTACACGCGAACCCCCCACCTGTTGGTTCATCTTGGCACGGGGGGCAACCCCATCGGCAGCCAAGTACAGAAGTTTGCGAGGCGAAATCGTAGAAATCACCAGGTCTAGGGCAGCAAAGACAGACTGCCACATCAAGTCCTCATTTGCATGAAGCATTCCCCCTGAAAAAAAAAAAGGGCAAGCCTTGGGAGCTCTCTCAACTTGAAACTGAAACACCTAGGAAACCAACGAACGTGTGCAGGAAAGGGAAGACAGATAGTGGCGTTTCCTCCTTTGTAAGAGAGTGAAGGTACTTTCCTGAATTGCCATGGCTGCAGTTGTGAAGGATCCCATTCAAATCCAGATATAAGTTGTCGAAGGTCGGGATTGAGGAGGCGACAATCTTTTCGTTAATCAGCGGATAGCGCTCCGAAAGCCACCGATAAAACCGGCCTATCCCCATTTTGTCTAATTTCGAGGAAAGAACTGGTGATACGTTGGGCCAAAAACGAAAACTTCTGGTCCGTCCACAACAAACAACTCTAATTCCCCCCTATTGCTCTCCCACGATACCCCACAGCAACTATGTTCCGCTTGTTTAAGAGCATCCACACCCTCAATAATATAGCACAGAGGGTGCGTATTTCTCCTTCAAATGGCCAAAACAGTGAGAAGCTCTCCCCTAGAACAGCAAAATGCAGAATGATCTGTCAGGTGCAGTCCAGTTCTGCAACGGGTCGTCAACAGGACCAAATGCACTACAGAAGATTGTTAAGACCCCTTCTCCAACTAGCTGAAATCGACGAACACATTCTCGAGGCTAAAATGTACACATTCGTGGCAAAGAGTACAGCTGAGGCGATGAGTTTTGGTAGATGCCTGTTTAGCTCCCGCTGCTCACTCGATATGGTTCAAACACACTGCGTCTGAACCCAGAAGATTACAAGACTACGGAATCAGTGAGTGCTTGTTGAGAATAGTTGCTCAAGGAGATGCAATATGCGCCCTCCTTTATTCCCTTGAAGCAAAACTGCAGCCAACATGAAGAGCAGTGTTGTATACAAGTGCCGAACGCACATCCATGAACTTCCGCTGTGAGCCCTTGCTGTAAGATGATTGCTTCCACCGCACAGCACTACGATTATGAATTCTGTGGGGACGAAATGTGTGCTAATGGCATTTTCAGTCTTCAATGGGCGCCTATGATGGCATGCGCGATCCACCCAATGGCTGCGGTGCAGTGTAGTGCCCAGCACTACCTAAAGCCGGCGACTTGGACAGAAATGCCAAATATCGTAAAGAAAAAGAGTTACGAGTAAATAATGTCGCAGAGGGAATTACGATAAAGACACCCTGCCGGGGCCCACTGCTAAGGCAGGAAGTCCTCTCGCCTGGGGCTAGACCGGCCGAGGAGCGAGCGCTAGGAAAATTTTAGTCTCCTTGAACACCTTATCTGTTGTTTAAATTGTTAACTGTCCATATATACTCAATACGTGGTGTTTCTCCTCTTCATGGGGATGGGCCTATAGGCCTCGAAAGAACAACCCTATAAGCATGCACAGTAGAAACATAGTATGATGCGTCGGCACAAGTCTGCCTGAAGTGGGCACACGAAACGTTACCCTGCCCTAGTAGACAAATGTACGGAAACAGAAGCTCTTAACAACCGTCAGCGTCAGTACATGCAAACAATGGTACCTGTGTTGGTGCCTGCAATTTCGGCGGGTGTGCAGCTTGTGCAGCAAAGGGCGTTGCAAATCGTAATCGAACGCCTCCTCTCACTGTCTTCCTCCAAGCGCTTGCGTCGCGGAGGTCAGGATGCCTGGAGATTTGGGGAAGGAGACTAGTGGCATTGGAGCGTCCCGCATCTTAATATTTTTGCCCCATTACAGCGCGCACTAGTCCTTGGGTAAGATCCAGGTCCCGCATTCCAGTTGCTGTTGCACAGCTTTTGTGAGGGTGGTACATGCTTTTCTTCTTGCTTGCACGATCCCTACGGAGGGCAAAGCAAGTATCAAACAGTTCGCTGAAGCACATATACTGACAAGGGAGCTTGGCTGTGTTTGCATGTGCGTGAGTCCGTCAGTTTTTATGGCTGCATGATGCGTGTAACACGGATTATGGACCTTACCAAACCACTAGTGCGAGGTGAATTGGAGCCGAAATCCTAGAGATGAGAGTTCCTAAAACGCAACTGACGTCGCTCCCCAATATATAGGTGTCAACGTGTCATGATATCTGGTTCACCTGGAACAGACATGAAGAAATGCGGCCTGGCGTGGCGTCCAACCCCTCTTGATGTATCCCAAGATGTAAAATAGCCACAAATACAAGCATAATCAAGCTTTATTGAATGTGTATGCAGACACTCCAGAAATGTGTTAACTGTTGCTTGCGTGGCAATTGTTTACTACAGCCGGGTAAGGGTTCATGTACCCACGTCAGATGTACTTGCCAATATCCTACAGTCTATGCTAAAGTGCGTGGCAGCTTATTAGGGGCCAGCTGTTTACCGCACGAGTCCCAGTCCCTTTGGGTCTTTCTGTCTAGGACGCTGAGGTAATGGTGGGGAGGTCAGCTTTGTTCTAGGATGTCGCATTTACTCTTCAAGAGCTTTACGTTTGATGAAAAAAACAAGTTTCGCTCCCCCAGCTGGGGAAAAGGCGCTGGTATACACAAAATCCGCTTGTGCAAAAAATGGCAATCGGGGTTGTGAATGACAGCACCTGTTCGTAAAAGTGATAAGGATTGAGAAGTGGAAGCAGCCGGCAAATCCTCAGGAAGACGGTGGGAGATACGGAAGTTGCATCTACTTGTTTTGCAACGACCCCAGTCGCACATGTCGACACTCCATCCTTGAAGGGTTTCCAACACGACTTTGAACAGCGTCACCAGGGAAACGAGCATAGCAGTCAGGGAACTGCAGTGTTGTCCATGTTAGGTGTGACTGAGTGCATGGGGCAGAAAGAAGTGACGGCCGCACCTGTAGAGCCGCCAAGTGTAAAGCCACTGATTATATGGGTTCCTATTAACGGTCAGGCGAAGTTAACCATTCAGGGGATCGAATGCGAAGTATATGCGCTACCTGAAGGTACGGAGAGGAGGTTTAAAGTAGTTGACAATTCGTTGGCGCATTTTCTGCGACTACAGTTCGCAGGTGGTACCATGTACACCAAGGACTTACATAATTGTTAACCGCTTGGGTGATCTGCATGCAGATGGATAAAGCTGCCCCCACATAGGACGGGCGAAACACCTTAACAGAATTATGTGGTCTGCAATGATGGTTTCTTATAAGGTGAAATTACGAATAGAGGGTAATTAGCTGGAAAATGACGTTTCGATTCATTGCAAAGTAGTGGAGACGCCAAATGATCCGCAAACAGTTTTCAACCCCTGGCAGACACAGTCATCACTTTCGTCCTCCTTATAATTAGCAAAGGAAGCAATTCTAATTCTTAAAAATTGGACTCAGATGGGCGAACACACCTCTCCACTTCGCTTTAAAAATGCAGTGTAACCCTGGGGGGTTCCCGAGGTTAGCCACAAACAAGTGTGCAAGCCTGGATAAGCCTGAGTTGATGGAGAAGGCATTTTCACACTGCATATCATATGGATAAGCATACGTGAAACGTATTTGTAAGGACGATACCTCTTGCAAAGGGGACGTTCAGCTGACCGACGCAGCACAGAATGTGCAGCTGGTCCACGCACGGGGCGGCATCTTTCGTGGGAAGACTCGAATAACCTAAGTACCTAGACAGCATATTATAGTTACGAACTGTGGGGCGATTAACGCAACTAACGACTGGCTAGGGGGAAGATGATACTGGCTACAACAGCTCAAATCTTCTTTGCCGGGTTCGCCAGGCGAGCTTGCCGCCTTGCGCGAGCGAGCGTTTGCTGCATTCAAAGAGTATAGTTTTTTTATCAGTTAAATTCTGTAGACTGCACAAAACAAAAGTCTATTGTGCTATTACGACTTAATTTATCAGAAATTGCTATGCGAAGTATGTCTACTCCCTCGTGGCATTGGAGAAAGTGGGTCGACCAGCAGGAGGCCGTTGCGCATCGGAGGTGGTGGAGAAGTTTCCTCTGGACAATTATTTGTGTATGAGCCCATACAATTAGTTTTTCGTGAATTGAGTACTGTTTGCATTTAAGTAATTCTTCGAACGTTTATTATTCTCTGCGCTTTTCCCTTGCCTCCTGCACGGCACGACGGCACGAGACCGTTGTTCCGGTGGAGAAACTCCGGCATTTCTTGTTGTACATCACTTTAAGTTATATTCGTGTTATACGGAAGGCTATACTTCTCTTTTCTGTAGTATTGCTCAGAAGTAGTGTGTATTTCTTCCTTGTCGGCTCGGTCCGTGTCTGGTTTTGCAGCCTCCATCTGAGGCTGCTTTCTGACGAAGACAGCGGTTAGATGAAGCGGGAACATGTGGATCTTACCTCTGCTTTTGTTGCTCCAGCTTATCGCTGCAGGGGCGGCTCGTGAGGAGTCTGCAGCGACCTCAGGCTTCTCCCCGTTCTTCAGACGTCCTGAGTCAACAAACACCAGCCCTCGACCAGCCGGTGTTGCCGCTCCAGAACAGCGGTTTTCTCAGACCAGTGTGGGCTATTACCTCGCCAGAAGAAGAATGAAGGGCAATAGGAAGCAGGTTGAAACCGCTACCAGCTTCAGGGACGCCGACCTACAGGCGTTGCTACAGCGACTCCGGCATTCTGCGCTGCAACAGTTGACGACGCCAACCTCTGTGGCGCCAGATGAGCAGTCTTGAGTCGTGAATAAAAGATCTTGGATCCCCAACCGTGGGAAAGAACGTTTTAATATGTCTGCGGTCAGGGAAATGGTGGGGGTGGTCTCGTCAGAGGGGTTGAATGGAAGTGAATGCTGCTGCTTCTTCTTGTAGCCCCAGTTGGGCTGAAGAAATATTTCCCGCTTATTCGATTTTTGAGAGTATCGTTTCCTTCAGCTGCATGCATACTCGCCCCAGGCTAGCTAAACTAGGAGAATGTTCGGCTTAGCTAAGGGGACAATAAGCCGAACATGAGAGGAGGTGTCATCAGGTCGCCTGCTGCAACAAGACCGCAGCAGCATTTTTCGTTCAAGCCACATTTTCTATGTACAGTTGGCTATACTGCAGTCTCTGCTTCATTGCAGAAGGTGCTTCCTGCTCTGCTGCAACGCAGTTGCTTCCGCTGCTGTGCTGCAGTAGACTGGTACGTTGGGCGATTTAGTGATTGTGTATGGGGAAGCTGCTATATGGGTTCGTTCTTTCCCCATTTAGTGTTTATTAGTGCGTGTGACGTGCTGAGAGTATGGATTTAAGTCGATCTTTTCTCTCATATTTTCTCGTGTGGCGCTGTGGCCACTGCCTGTATAGGTGGTGGGTACAAGAAGTGTGGCAGTTGATATGTAAGAGAGTTGGTGTTGCATTTGTAGACAAAGTTTTACATCGGCAACACGGAAACTGAGGGATTCGAAAACGGATTCGTCCTTGAGCTCATGCTCCTCTCAACTCTGATCGTGCTACTACAGACCTATTTTTTGCGCAACGGGGATTATATAACTCATGCATGCATGAGCATGCATGCATTCCTGCAGTGAAACATTGTACCAGTAGCTCTCTCTACATCTCGTAGTACACATAAACTTCATCACAAAACAACATAAGCAAGTTAAGAGCGCAGTCCGCAATGGACTGCTACCTACTATAGCTTCCTCCAACGAAACCTTCTGCGGACATTCCCATGTTATGTATTTGTTGTAGCTAAGCATTAGTCTTTTTCTTCAGACGCTTTTATTTAAACATTATTTTGTAACTGTCTACAAAGTTTTGTTGTTTCCGTGCCTTCTAGTTGCTGCGCATCTAGTCACTTCTTAATTGCTCTCCTCTCCGAGGGGAACAGTTTGCCTCCACCTGCAGGCGCTAGTGTTTCCCAGCTTTTTACAGAAGAGAAGGAACTAGAACTAAATGTTTCCCTGCATGTTCTTGTTGGTGTGCTTGTTGCTAATTGTCCTTCTGAGCATCTACTCTTTTTTTTGCATCTCTGCTCTGTAATTGTGTGCAGATTGTCCTTGCTGCACTGTTTCCGTTGTTGGTTGGTCTTATGTCAAATCTACCCGCCTACCTGAAACTGGTCCCACCCCATCTTATCCTTCTTATTAGCTGCTGTTTTTGCATGTTGTCCCTCTAGCCGGTCTGTTGTCTCTGCTTCTGCCACATATTGCCTTTGTAGATGCATCAACGGATGCCGCCCTGTACCTACTGTATATTGTCCTCTCAACTGCTTTTTTTGCATGTTGTTAAGGTAGCAGAGTGGTATCCATACAACTAACTGTTTGTACTGCACTTTGCTCTCGTAGCTACGTGGTATTATAATTAGTGCCTATTTGTCGTGCATGTATCGGCTTACCGCCTGTTGTTCTTGTATCTGCTTTTAGTGCATATTGCTGCTTTAACCACCTTATGTTATTGCATATTGCTCTTTTAATCTGTTTTTTCTATTTCCTTCCCTTTGTGGTAGGCGCGTCCTGCCCTTGCCAATTGTTGGTCCAATGGGCAATTCGAGCATCCGCCAGTCTGTGTGCCCGATTCTTCACGGCTGATGAATAGAGGGACCACAGGATGTGCAATTTTATATTAATTATAATATAATTTCAGGAAAAATAAAATAATTTACACAAAATAAAAACACATCAGCGGGCATTGCTGTATAGGGTTCCTTAAATGGCGATTAGCCACCGTGGCATGCCACACAGTGAATGGGATGACCGCAACGGGAAGGAGGGGGGAATGGGGAAATAAGACGCCTAAAAAAAGGGAATTTTAATATAAATAAGCATTAAAAAGATAATGGATAAAGAAAGAATACAGTGTTTAATTCAATGAGGCAAGACAGCCCAAAAGCAACAGCAAGAAGTGCCTGATGGTGCGCTGGACCCTCACCTCGATATGACAGCAGCGGGCAAGCACTGCCCCCAGCAGCGCGTTGCTTCTTCTACAACAAAGAAGGCAACATTCCTTCTTCCTTCGTCTTTTCCTCACAAATCTTTCATTAGAATTCACCTCCCTATTAAAAGCTTCTGCTTTTTTTCCTTTGAAGTCCTATTATTGGTAAGTATATTGTGCAAAGGTTCTTAATCTTGCGTGTAAGGTAGAGGATAAGCGAGGGAAGAGGGGGGAGGGGATGTTTACTTGCTTTTACTGTTTGCTTCATGTTTTTCTGCACATATGAATTGTTGTGTTTATTATTTTTATTTATAGTTATTTGTTTTACTTATGAGGGTTTTACACAGTTGTTGAATAGAAGGGAAATAAGCAGCGCAGCTGCATAGCCATATTATACTCACCATTATTCATCATTATGAAGGATTGCGCTACTATGTATACACCTACATAATAATACTTGTGTTAAGGTTATTTATACATTATATTTGCACTCAATAAGGAGAAATTTATTATTTTTAGTTTATTAGTTGCTTCTTACGCGGGGTGTGTTGATTGTTATTCAACAATTGTTGTTCATGGCATATGCATATTCCTGTGCAAATGGTTTCTTAGTTGTATGCTTTCTTTAGGTATATAGGTATATTTGTTGTTTTTTTGTATGTTTTATGCAGGGCTTATAAAAGCTTTTATTTCCTTTAGTAGTACTATTAGAAGCAGAAAGCAACCATATAATAAAGATGCAGCAGCAAGCAGCGGGTAGCAATGGCTTCTATAGGAGGAAGAGGGGAGGTGTTGCTGCTGTTGCATTAACATATTATTCATTACTTATGCTTTTTGCCCATGGATCGCATGCATTCGCAAGGAATCTTCTAGGTTCAGGTCAAGGGTCACTACAGCATCATAATGAGGGTGCGCTTCCTGCTGTACAACTAGCAGAAACTCATGTACCTTCATTTCTTCTTGGTACTGAGAAGGAGCAGCAGCAACAACAAGAACAAGTGCAGGAGGAACAACTGCAGGATCAGGAACAGGATCAGCAGCAGGAGGAGCAGCAGATAGAAGGAAGCAATGGGGATGGAGAGCAACTCTCTGTAGAGCATATAATAGATGGAGGAGAAGCAGCAGCATTAGCCCAATTAGAAGAAAAAATAAATTCAGGACAAGTACCAGAAGAGAAATTCAAAGATTTAGCTCGTGATGCCTACACTGCTTTTATTCAAGAAGCGGAGAAAAGTCTTGATGATTTAGAATTAACAATTAAATCATTAGAAGAAGGAATGAATAATAATAATAATAATAATAATAATATAAATAATAAAGAATTAAATAGTAATCCTCATCATAATCATATTCATCATCATCATCATCATTCACCTAGTTTCTTACAGCAACAAGATAAAGAAAATACACAACAAGACATAAAACCTCATGGAGGAAATAGTGGATCTAGCGGACCAGAAGAAAGAGGAGATCAGCAAGAAGAAGAAGGGGGAGGACAAGAAGATCATGATCAAGAAGGAGATGGGGAGGAAGATGTAGATGATCAAGGAGATGGTCTAGTAGGAGCAAGAACAAAGAGTCTATGGGACGAAGCACGAGACCAAGCAAAGGAAACGGTCGAAGATATGAAAGATCGAACAAGAGAATGGGGTGAAAGAGTTCAAACTCTTATTGATCACGCGAAAAGTGACGCAAAAAGGGCAGCAAAAAGGGCAAAAACTGCAATAACTCAAGGGGTAAAGAAAGCTTATGGGAAGGTAAAGCAGGGAATGAAGAATTTCTTTGATAAGTTGGGGAGAAAGATAGGAGGAGAAGACGAGGTTGCTCCTGCTGGTGAGGGTGGTGCTGGTGGGGGAGGGGGAGACGGGGATACATCTGCTTCCTCTTCTGCAACAGGGGAGGAGGATGAAGATGAACAACTTAGGAAGAAATTGTTTGGTGGAGGACTTCATCCTCCTAAGGAAACAGATGAGGAAGGGAGAGGAGATGCAGAAGGAATAAAGGAACTTAAACTGGAGGACGCTTTAGCTCCAAGAACAGGAGGAACAGGAGCCAGACCACCACCAGCAGCACCAGCAGGTGCAGCAAACCCAACAACAGCAGGAGGAGGAGGAGAAAAGAATCAAGGACCTACAGCACCGAGTTCTGCACTAGAGGTGCAAGAAACAACAGCAGGAGCAGCAAACTAGACGGAAACGTGGTCATGATGCTCAAGGCAGCAAATGGCAAAGCGCCAAAGTAGCAGCAACAGCAGCAGCTGCAGCCGCAGCAAAGGAAGCTGCGGCAGTAGCAGAGGAAGTTGAGGCAGCAGCATAGGAAGCTGCTGCTGCTGACGAAAGAGCAGCAGCAGGTTGGGCGGGCAGCAGAGGCATCACCAACCCGCGTGCCCTCCTTTTCTTGCTGAGAAAAGGAAATAATTTGCATGCGTTTATGGTGTATATACAGCAAAAGATGAAATATAAAGGGGGGAGGGGAATTTGTTGTTGCTATTCATTTGTTTGCCTTGGGCAGAGCAACGGGAAGGAGAGGAAAGGAAGAAGAAGAGAAGGAAGGAGGGGGGGAAATGAAGAAAAAGAAGAGAAAGGAAAAAAAGGAATAATAATATAATAGTAGATGTAGTAGTAGTAGTAGTAATAATAATAAGAGGAAGATTTATTCTTCCCTTTTTTTCTTTTTTTTCTTCCTCTTGCTTGTAGGGAAAGAGGAATATTAAAGAATATTGTATATAATATATATTATATAAAATGTGTATTATATGTATATATTATGTATATTATGTATATGTATATTATATAATATATATAAAGTTTAATTAAGCAGAGGAGGGAGGGGAGGAAAGGAGAGAAACCTCTGTTTGTTGCATGCCTAGAAAAATGCCGATTAGGGTTTAGGGTTTAGGGTTTATGGCCATAAACCCTAAACCCTAAACCCTAACAAGAGAGATAGTAGATAATAAATAAAGAATAAATCTCTCTGTTTGTTGCCTTTATTAT